AGGTCGAAGCTTAAAGAGATACATTCGCTCGCAAGGGAGCGGATGGAGATGAAGTCTTGTAGGGCGAAGGCTTGGTATGACAGAAGGGCCAAGAGGAAGGATTTTAAAGAAGGACAGAGGGTATAGTTGTACAATCTCGACGGGAAAAAGGAAGAACAAAGAAGCTGGAGAGTGATTGGGAGGGGCCTTATTTTATTTTTAAAAATATTAATGATTTGGTTTTTAGTGTCAGCAGGTCTGGTAGGGGTAAGAAGCGCGTGGTACACGCGGATTGTCTTGCTCCTTTTATAGAGAGGGGGGTAGAGAGTAAAAGGAGACGACTAGAGTAGCGTAGGTTTACTTTCGGGGGAAATTAATTTTATTTTAAATTGTTAAATTCAGGAAGCTTTCTGTCATTCTTGTTTACCGTTTAGGATGGGAATAAAGGTTCCATATGGAGCTCTGAAGGAAGACGTGGTTTCCTGAAGGAAGGCGTTCAGTCCCGAAGGAATGCGAACTACTCTAAGGGAGAAAACCTGTCCTAGGGAAAGCGTGCTGTCCTGAAGGAGGAGGGAGGCTATAGAAGCGTGGGAACGTTGACCTTAGGAAGGATACGGAAAAGATGCTGGCAGGCGCGTCGGCCTCCTAGGGGTTTTTACGCCATGGTTTTCCCTCTAGGCGGAGCAAGCTGATGCTCCGGGTGAATAACAGGTCGAGGTACGGCGAAGAGAAGGCCATGGCAGAACATCACATCTCTGAGCCAAAGTTGGGGCGCCAAACGACAAGCCGCAGTTGTCAGGACGACAATTTCGAAGAGGGGGAGTAGTGTTACGATCCTGTTTTTAGCCGTCCTTGAAAAAGGCCGTTTCCAGGCTACGAGTTGTTGATCGGGGAGATCTTGACAGGAGCTCAAAAAGATCGGACGTGATAAATTACGGAAAATTGTAGAAAACCCCTGAACAGTTATTAGAGTTCCATAAATAAAGTTCTTTGTTAATCTTTTGTAATTTGAGTTTGGGCGGGAGTGTTACTTCTCCGAGAAGCATTGCAATATTTAAAAAAAGTTTCGCTGCTTTCTAGATTACATAAAAGTAAAAACTATCAGATATCTAAAGAAATGCTATATAACAAAAGCTGTAAAACGTTTTCTTTCAAGTTTTAAAGCGTATACTATCAAATCAAAAGTGTTAGGTTCATTAAAATCTAGCAAATAACATTTACATGTTAACAACTGCAGTCCATAAAAAGGGAAAAAATTATTTTATTACAATATTTTTTGAATACTTTACGTGAAGAATTCAATTCTT